CAATATAGTAAATTTAATACTGAGATAATGCGGTCAAAGATACTGCAGGACCCTCAAGCTCCCAGGCCGCTGGTAGAGGACCCGAGCTTGAAGGATAGATAGCCTGCAGGGGCGAGTGGGGAATTTTTTATTTTTTTTTATATCTCTCTCCTAAGCTGTTACTCTGTTAAGATATACTTTAATTTTCTAATACTAACAGACTAATGCTACAGTATTTTGTATTAGAATGACAATCAGCTCAAAAAGCAAGCTGCGCCTGAGAAACACCAGCTAAATGACCGTCACCTTCACCAGCAATGAAACTGAGCTTTGATGAATATTTGTTGTTTTGTTTTTTGTTTTTTACAGAAGTGCCTAAACAGTCCCTAAATAAAATGGTGCTAAAGCTGGATAAGCAACTGTTGTACTAAAGTGTACTAAAGAAAGAAAGAAGACATGTTACAATCTACAATGCAATTTTTACGTCAGTACTTTGTGCAATTTCATTATTTATTTACCAATATTTAGATCGTTTAAGAAGTTTAAATATACTTACTTATCCCTAAGATGCCCTGACAGAACCATAATGCATCAAACAAACATACTAGACATAAATGCTGGTGTCTTTTTAAGAAAACAATGGTTGCTTTCAAATGATTCATCCTTTGTAGCGCTGGATGAAACAGTAACACAAAAAAATTTGGTTTAGTTTCTTCATTCTGTACAATGTTGTGAATGGAATTTATTAGACAGAAGTTAAAACATATTCCTGGCCTTCCATTACCTAAAATGAAGGTGTAGATGATGTTTTTTAATGAGACAATGTTCTTGATTATGTATCATTAACTATTTATTTTCCAATGCTCCATATACTTACTTTCTTTAAACCAGATAAATATGTTAAATGGTGTTTTTGATTTGACTTGTGTGTAGTGTTTTCATTTCACATTCTGACATTGCGATTTGAGGGTTTTTTTTTCTTTATTAAAGGAGTTTCAGTTAAGTTGCTAAGATACTGTAGTTTTACACTATGGGATGAAGTTTAGCTTAGTTCAACATCATAGTTTAAACACTTGGTTAGGATCCACGTCATCAACATGCATTGTAGTTGCAAATACATAAAAATATAACAAATGAACACAGAGATACAATACTTTTGAAAATAATCTGTAAACATTTGAAATTTTACGTTTAATGTCTCTGCCATTTGAATTAGGCTGTGAGAAGAGATTAAAGATAAAACTGGTTACACTTGAAATCTCAGTTTCATCCTAAATGGACCATTGTAATAGAAGGAAGGAAAACGAGTCACACATGGTTTTCCTGGCCAACCTTTCAGATCATTTCATTCGAATGAAATGGCAAACGTTGGAGTTTTACATTATGTTGCTGCTGTTTTTATTTTTGGGCTCTTTGACAAAGGTGAGAGGAAACTGGATATTAATAATAGTGTATGAGCTAGGCCTTAAAATACAGTGAAAGATAATTTCTTTACATTTTTAGTTAAGTAGCCTATCATAACTCCTTTCAGTCGTGGTGGTGGTATGGATCATTAAGATGAACTATTTTTGAATACTGTAGTGGTGGAAGTATGGAGTATAATGTATTAAACTCTGAGATTATCAGTCAAAATAGGCTTTCTGTCTAGATCACAAAATTATTTGATTAGTTTATTCCTGATTTCCTGAAGACTCAAAATTATACTATTGTGTGATGGTAAACTATCCAGCTCAGCAGCTCACTACATAATTTAACTGTATTGTAGTTTTATTTAAATTGCAAATTAAAGCAAATACACACTCATGATATACTGGGAATAATTAATATACTCCAGTCCTATTAACATATCTCAGTCTCTCTGTTGATACATACCAAGCTTATCGTCACACTTGTAATTTTTAGCCTTTTATAAAAATAAAGATCATTGAACCTTTAAAGAAGGTCTAATTCTCACACCATAGTTAAGGTAAAACATCCGCAGATAGTACTGAGGTAATAATCACTACTGCAAATACTTGGAGTATAAGCAGAAAAAAAAATTTTTTTGACTTTAATAAAAGTGTCAGAATGATTTATTTTGTCATGAGACAGTGAGTGTGTGAGTCTGTCTTTAACTGTGCGTTTTTCTCATCTGACACAATTCAAGTCGGACAGGAGTGACTACTACACCCAGTTTTCCAACTGCCAGAATGCAAACCATCGAAAACAAATCATGGTTGTTGTCCCGTGTGGATAAGTACATTTTCTCTCTGGCTTTGGAGACAAGACATTCATATTCTCACACATGGCTGTGCCAGAAAGGATCTTATGGGTGCTGTAGCGGTTTGTGGAAGAAAAATAGCATCACCTCAGTACCCCCTAATAATTTTGTGTGGTTAATTATTACATTTTTAATATTGAAATACTATAATTATAATATTATTAAATTAGTAATACATACATTATTAACATTTTTTGGCTCTGTAGCCAACAGAATAAGAGCTTTTGACTGGAACAAAATTGTCAATGGCTCCACACTCAATATCAGCAACAGATTCAATGTTATGTTTTGAAGGTATGTAATTATAAAGTTGTGATGTTTTTGTTTTGTTGACTGTTTTACATTTAATGTTGTTATTGTTTGATACACAAACGCTAACTCTTAATGGTTTTCTTAAAGTTATAATCAGTCATGTTATTATACAGAACATGTTAAAGATTAGGCAGGGTGATTTAAGTGGTGACTGAGCTGAAATGTGCACAAACCTATGGTTACCCATGGGTTCCTGGTAAAATTGTGTGAACGTTTGTAATCTGAGTCTGTTTAAGCAGACAGAGTTATGCACCACACATTTAATCCTGACTTGTGTCAAATGCAGAATAGTTGTTACACGAGCAGCTACTGATGCACATGATTAATGGATATTTATTGTTATTCACCTCATCTGTCAGTGCTCATAATGCTAGTATTGATTGTGTATATATGCACACAGAAAAGTGATTGGGAAAAAACAATAAACAGGAAATTACTAAAACATGAGAACACGTCTAACAGACGGAGACTGTGTGATGTAACAAGATACAGGAAACAGGTGGGGCAGGATAAACTGAAAATTCAAGGAAATAATTATAGCCTCCTAAGAAAGTAAAAGCTCAAACATATCATCCAAAAAACATAACTACACGATTATAAATGATTATATATAAGTAAATTCTTAACTGAGGACAAAGAAAAACAAACTCAAAATGCTGGGCCAAATGACCAGGGACCTTGACACAATGGGAGAATGATGGTGAGAGCTGGCGACACTGGACTTTCTTTGGCAGTAAGTTGAACTCAAACAGGATACTCAGTATTCCTCACACCTTGATCTATATGTCCATGCAGCTCTAACAGCAGTGGTCCAAACACAGCAGACTGTGCTGGCAGCAGTGGGAGAAGATGCTGAATTCAGCTGTCAGCTCTTGGAGACTAAAGACGTCCTTCAGGTCACATGGCAGAAAATTTCAAATAATGTGGAGACAAATGTTGCCACCTACAGCAAGTACTATGGTCCGAGAGTGAATGATGGCTTTACAGATAAATTTAGGTTTAAAAACACTGGACTGCAGAACTGCTCCATAGTCATCAGGAATGTGATGGAGCAAGATGAAGGCTGCTATCACTGCCTGTTTAACACTTATCCTGACGGCTCCTTCACTGGTCAAACTTGCCTCGAGGTCTATGGTAAGAACTTTAATCTTCTTTAACAAACAACAAGTTCTTCAAACAAACATACTGGAAATAAATGTGTGAGCAGCTGGTGTGTTTGTAAGAACATGTTGATGATATTTCCTGATCCTTCACAGAGCTGCATGAACCTGTTGTTGATGTCAGAGAGTCAAACTCT